ATCGGGGCTCGACAAAATTCGAAAAAGACTCAAAAGAAAAATTCAAAAGAAGGACGCAATTTCCCGCGCGATGTCCGCGCCCAAAAGATCGAAACTGAAACAAAAGAAACGGCGTCAACATTTATTAATCGCGCCCGGTGGCGCACCAGTCATCCAGCCGACCAATCAATCAACCGGCCTCCCAGGACACACCCAACTCCGAACCCAGCCATTCGAAAAGAGGCGACGAAAAAGACTAAAAAGCGAGGACACTGATGCAATTTTCCCACCGATCCCGATCTCCTGTAATTGGCCCAATCTTCCCAGCTTAGGACCCCTCGTTGCAACCGCGCAGAAAATCGCGCGTTACAGAAAGTGGTTCGTCACATATGTGACTCCCAGGGGGTTCCAATATTAGCAAGCTCCTGCCTGCTTGTTGACACGTGTCGATTTCTCTAATCGATTGACACGCGGAGCACTTCCTTCTATGCCACTTACCGTTCGATTGCGTGGGGACGTCATCCTACGTGGCAACACTGCTCTTCTACTAGTTCCTCAGATTGGGCTCTCGACGGTTCAAGGACGGGATCTTTCTCGTGTCGTCGCCGCGACACGCGTCCATTACCTGCTGCATCAGTAATTAACCGGGAGGGGGAAAGGAAGTCGGTACATGGCGGCATGGCGGGGTGGAGGGTTTATGGGTAGCGGGGGTAGGAAACTTTCCATTCCGGCTACAGTCTCCGGGAGCTCCTGGTAACGAACAAGGCGATGGAAACAGGGGAATCGATTGCCAGTGCGAGGGAGGGACGCGAGATAATCGGGGTAGAGGGTGGTAAAAGTTCGGAAGAGCGCCGCGTGGAAACGATCGCGATCTTCGCATGCGGGGATGGTCCCCGTTATCACGCAATAAACCTCAATCATATTGTGGCCTCGCCACGCGGCACTGAGGAGCAAGGCATGGAGACAAAAGGCCGGGACGGTGCATCGGAGGGAGGGATGGGGATGCACTACTACAGCGAGGCGAGCGGCGTAGAAGTGACGGAAGGTACTGCGGGGGAACGGATTGGAGGGGAACGTGACGGGGGTGGTGAGCTGGCGGAGGGTGAGGTAGTCAAGGGGACGGCGAGAGAGTAATCGGGGACGAAGGCCGATCGCCCGTATCGGTACGTCGGCGAACTGGGGGACGAGTTGGGGAGGAGGGGGATCGGCTCCGTCGCCGTGCTGATGGGGCCGGAGTCGTGGCCGCGAGGTCGCCATCTTCAGGTCGGGGAGGCTCCGGATCTCGGTTCGGGTCCTCACGGATCTGCAGACTTGCTGCGCTGGCGAGCTCTAACTCCTTCCCGGCCGCGATCTCTTCTCTTTTGCAGGCTGCCTCGGGATCCTCAACCTCTGTACCTGTGCGCAGCGCTTTTTCCGGCACGGCTTCCCACTCCGACCCAACAGATTTGTCTTCGTGCTCCTCTTCTCCTTCCTCGTCTTCTTCTTCTTCTTCTTCACTCTGTTCCCCCTCGCTATGCTCGCTATAACTTCCTTCTTCGGGGGTTTCATCTTCTTCTCCGAGCACTTCGTCGCTATCCCCGCCTTCGTCCAGCCCGTCTTCGTCTTCGTCACTCCCGGTGCTCTCCTCCTCCTCCTCCTCTTCCCGAATGGCAGAAAACTGCTCCCTCGTAGGGTGCCTGAAGAAGGCAGGATCGCGAATCGTCCGGGGATCCAAATATTGTTGCTGCGACGGCGGGATGCGTTCCGCGGCTCCCTCTATGCAAGCCGACCACTGAAGATGAGGTGTCAAGGTGCGAGAAAGAACATGGCCACAGCCATTTCGTCAAAACGGACATATTATATTTTTTGAATGAAATCAAAACTGACTTTTTTTGCCAAAATCCGGTCGGAATTTTTTGCTCCTGGGGGTCCGGCGTTTTTGTATCTGGTCTCAACCATAGACCAGATACATGTACGGGGTCCGGCGTTTTGGGAGCGCCGGATCCCCAGGAGCAAAAAATTCCGACCGGATTTTGACAAAAAAAGTCAGTTTTGATTTCGTTCAAAAAATATAATATGTCCGTTTTGACGAAATGGCTGTTTGGGGAACTGGGTGCTCGTCGTCTTGCGAGATGATGTCAAGAGGGAGATCGTCCGCCAGCTGCGCTACCGGGATCGTGAGCTCTTGCGCGATAAGTTCCTGGTGGCCGGGCCGCACTGTACCGAATAAGAACGCGAGAAGCTCTCCCTCCACGTTGGTGCGCCGGGCCTAGATAAACAGCAACTCCAGGCGCTCTATGCAAGGCGGGTGCGCTTCGTCCTCGATCCATATCAGCCGTACTTCAACCAGGCACAGGGAAAGCTCGATGAAGTCCTCGCGCCACAGGATCCAATGGGGAGGATGAAGAAGGGGGACAGCAAGGGGCTTTAGAGAATAGGAAAGGCGAGGATGAATGTCGGACTGCCAGAAGGTGGGGAAGGTGGAGGGGAGATAAAAAACGGAGATCGGAGAGAGACTCATTGGGGACGGGGGAAGGGAACGAGGACAGGGAGATCTGTCGGCGGATCGCCCTGATACATCCGACGACCGTTGTATTCGATCGCTCGCGTCGTTGCGACCGTATCCCCGGGACGAGCCAGAAGATGGGTCCACTCGGCGACCAGGTTGTTTGCCCACGCACGCAGCGACGCTTTGACCACTGAATGTCGTAGGGGAAGGAGCGTGGAGAGATCGCCACGGAAGTTGATGACGACCGATATGCGGCTGACACCTCGCACCGCCCGCTGATGAACAGCCACTGCTTCGGCCAGTACCACTGCGTCTAGCCGGCCCTCGATTCTGAACACCGCCGCTGTGTACACGCCTTCCGTGCAGAAGAAGTGTGCAAGCCGACGAAGGTCTGGACTGAGGCAGGGATGATAGACCTACTTCGCTGAAGGCTCTCTCCTCCAGAAAACTAGTGGCGATGGCGACGGTGACGGGGAGGCAGAGAGAGAGCGAGAGGAAGAGGGAGATGTCGGAGAGGCAGAGTCGTCGCCCTCGGCTTCCTCAGAGAGAGAAAAGGAGGGAGAAGGAGACGGAGCAGAGGGGAGGAGGCGAAGATAGGGCACGTGGCGTGTGATCGGACGAGCCGATCGGCTGCCAGAGACCTCGAGGGCGAGATGCACGGTATCCACGCCGTTAGGCCCGAGCTCGATCACACGATATCGCCCGAAGAATCGTGGCGCTAGCTTACCCTGGCGAGCACATTTTCTTATCTGCACCACGTCCCCCAATTTGTACTGGGTCCGTGGACTTGCATTCCCATTTCGGGCCTCGTAGCTTCGGACCCGTCGGCCTTGGGCTAGTTCGGTCATTTTCTGTCCTTTTCGGGCTAACCTGGGCAGTGACCGCTTCATTAGCTCTAGGTGCCGTTTGGCCTTGTCTCGGGCCATGGCCCTGGTGGGCCGTCGATTCAATGTAGACTCATCCGGGAGGCTTGGTATCGAAACGCAAGCGACGCTATTGGTCCTTAATTGGAAGGGGCTAAGCCCCGTCGATTCGTGGGGCGTTCCACGATGGACCGCCAGGATGTGATCGACGACATCGGGCCAGGGCCTCGGATCCCGTGCCGCGATGTTTCGTCGCAATGCTGTCTTTATCACCCGGTTAGCGTTTTCGACCAATCCATTGGATTGTGACATGTGGGGTGCATTGTTCTGTATGGCGACGCCATGTATGACCAGATTCCTTAACACTTCCCCTCTGAATTCAGCCCCGTTGTCGGTTAGGAGCTCTTCCGTATCCTGATGCATCCCAAGGAAACGGTTGACATATCTCGCGATATTCAAGGCTTGCCGCGTGCGACAAGGATACGCCTCGATCCATTTCGAGAAATGGTCGACAAATACCAATAAGACCGAATATTCGCAACTATTAGGGCCAGGGGGCACCACTATGTCGGTAGTGTCCATACTCACTCTTTGAAAAGGCCGTTCAACAACCGTGGGCACTATCGATCTTGGTGGTTGAATCGGCGCTTTATCTGCGGCGCAGACTTGACAATTGGCGACGATGTACTTCACATCGTCGCGGATATTGGACCAGTACCACTCATTTTTGTCGATCGCAGACTCCGTGATTCGTACGGCAAAATGGGTCGCAGTTTCCTCGTGGGCTGTCTTAACCCAGTCATACCGCATGAACGGATACGGTACCACCATCCAAATCCCACTGCCGTCCGTTTTCCGTTTTTCTAATCTACCTTCTATCCAACAATAATCCCGAGCCCTTTCGTTGACCCTCCTCTGATCTTCCTTGGTGAAATCCTGGAGGGGGTTACCTACTAGCGTGGCAATTAAGGCAATATCAATCCAAACTTCGGCCCTTCTAAACTTCCGGGTCTTTTCCAACCCTTCTGGCGTGGCATCCAAAAAGCGAACCTCGGTCAGAATCTTGTCGGTCCGGCACAAGGGGCATAACCACGGTTTACTGTCGTTTCTGTACTGGATGCACGAGCCATGGGCTCGTGCGACACACTGTCGGCAATCTATCCAGTCTGCATACCCTTCCCCGTTAGGACACATGGAGACCGAATATACGCGGGAAATGGCTTCGCAAAAATAGCAAAATTTGTCAGGCAGGGAGAGGAGAGACGAAGAGGAAGGGGGAGAGAGAGGGGTAGTGGGGTTACCTCCATCACCCATCGCCACCGTTTTGCTTCTTGCCACGTGGAAGAACTGCCACCTGTCCGTATTTCGGCTCGTTGGTCAAGTCTGGCTCCTTCCACGGTGTAATTTCCTCGCCCTTGGGTACCTTGGCAGGTCGATGCAGACATGTCAGTCCGTCCGCGTTGCCGTGTCGCTCTGTCTTTCGATGGACAATATCGGAGTCGTATTCTTGCAATCGTACCGCCCAACGGCCAATCATCCCCATGTAGTTGGTGAGCTTCTTCAAGGCGAGCAGGGGCTCGTGATCCGCTACGAGGCGAAACTTCTGTCCTTAAAGATACGGATGGAAGTGTTGGATTCCCCAAACTACCGCATAACATTCGCCTTGAGGTGTCGAGTCATTCCTTCGTTCGTCCGGTACGGTGCGTGACGCGTATTCGATGACATGTTCACGACCATCGTTCCCCTTCTGCGCTAGAATAGCGGAAATAGCCTCCAGTTGCCAGTCCGTGATGAGAATGAACTGCTTCGAGGGGTCCGGCCGAATCAAAATAGGGGCCGTCGCCAGAGCGTCCTTGAGGGTTGCAAAGGCCTGCTGGCACTCCGCCAGAGGTCGTCAAACCAGTGTTTTATCCCACCCACATCCAACCCAGTCCAAGCCTTGATATGTTATATCTACCCGCACCCAGTGCCACCAATGTAAAGAAAAATTATTTTACCCTGACCCAGCCCACCCAAGCTAATGAAACATTTTCGTACCCGTACCCAGCCCACCCAGAATCTGCAGTGGAACCCTTACCCCTACCCAGCCACACCCACCCCTAGATTTAATCCACCCGCATCCGCCCGCACCTGCGAGCAATTTTCATCCACCCGTGCCYGACCRTACCCATGCCCAAAGTTTACCACCCAGCATGCCCTTCTTACTCTCMACATACACAAYGGACAAAAAATATGGCAATGTATCTATCCATGTTCTAGCGGGCGATTTAGTCTCATTGAGCACATTTGGAGACTACTGGAGCGAGGCCCGTTGCTAGGCCACGCCTATTTTGCACATTTCGAGAGTAGCGGAAAAAAAAAACAACCAGGCCTAATTCCTACTATTGGTAGGACCAGACTTGAATACCTGGGGAGGCTGGGAATAAAAAATGGAGGGTGCAGGCCAAATACATAATGCCTCATGACCCTAATACAACCTACATGTCCTATACTAGCCTAGTATACAGTCCTACAGACTTCGGGTCACCCGGGCGAAACCTCTACCCGACCGTACCCGCCCACACACTTTACCAACACCCAGCCATACCCCCCCGAAACTTTCCCAACCCACCCAATTCCACCCAACACATTTTCACACCCAGCCAAACCAGCCCACACCCTTTCTGCCACACCCGCACCCAACCAAAACTGTCGGTTACGGCTGGGTACGGTCGGGTCGGGTCACGGCCACCCGTTGGCGACCTCTGCACTCCGCGTCCCAGCTGAGAGGCTGGTCCTTCCGTAGTAGGTTTGTTAATGGTCGCGCAACCGCGGCGAAGCCCTTGATGAAGCGCCAGTAGTACGACGCAATCCCAGGAAGGCTCGAACCTGCGTCAGAGACGTGGGAACCGGGGGTTTTTTCACCGCCGCAACTTTTCTGGAGTCCAGTCGCAATCCTCCACGTGTCACGACGTAACCCAAGAATGTGCCCGTGATAGGTTTCCGAATAGACCAGGATATCGTCCATGTACACGATCACGCAGAAGTTAATCATCCCTTGTGTCAGCCGTGTCTTGTTGACGAAGTTCTGGAATGTCATGTTCATCGCTCGTTGAAACGTGGCAGGCGCATTGCAAATCCCCATCGGACACCGAACCCACTGCCATGTGTCCTCAAACAACACAAAGGCCGTTTTCGGCCGATCTTCCTCTTTAACGAGAATATGATGGAAGTCATGCCGAATATCAAACTTGCTGAAATAATTAGCGCATCCAATCGCATCCAACAAATCATCAATCCGGGGGAGGGGATATACATCTTCGATCATGATCTCATTCAGCTTGCGATAATCAATGCAAATGTGAATCGCCCCGTTTTTCTTGGGTACTAACACTACGGGAAATGACCAAGGTCCGGTGGCGGGTTCAATCCAGCCGCTGG